AGACTTGCAGGTTTCATTCTGGGGAAAACGGATTGGGATCTTTTTTTCTTTTGTGCAGACTTTTCAGAAGAAATGATGAACAACATACCTGTATCTAATGCAATGGAAACTGTTGCTGAGGTCATTATTCAGGCAGCAAACTGCTTTATTCCCCTCTTTCAACAAGGTTACAAAAATGCCCCAAACCATGGTGGAACCGACAGTGCCAAGAGACTCTTAAGACTGCAAAGAAGAGCTTGGGGAAAGTTTCACCGGTATCCTACATTGTTCAATCTAATAGCCTTCTAAAAAGTCAAAGCAATTGCACAAAGAGAAGACAGAGCCAGAAGGACTCTTGGGTATCCTATGTGTCAACCATCACATCCTCTACATTAAGTAAACGAGTGGGGGAAAGAGTAAGGAAAGAAACTGGAATGTACAATAACCACCTACTTTCCATCTTGGAAAAAGATGGCTGAATAAGAAGCAGCATAGAAGAAATTCCAAATACAAGTGGTGAGAAGCAGTTGAGAGCTGCAGTCTCTGGCAGCAGCAGTTATCCACAAGCATTACTTTGTGTCTAGCTACACTCTGAGAAACTTTCAATTGTGTTCAACTTTAAGTCATATAATGTGGATTTTACCGTGTTTGAGCTAAAAAGAGCCCTCATGAAGACATATGGATCTAGTCCAGGTGGTCCTGATGCAATTACGTATGACATGATAAAGCATCTTTTCTATAATTCATTAAATGTCCTTTTTAGTCTGTTCCATGGAGTGTGGAAAGAGAACATCATCCCCAGTACATGGAAGAAAGCTATCGTTATACCTATTGCTAAGCCAGGTAAGGACCAAAGAAATCCCTCAAATTACTGGCCAATCGCACTTACATGTTGCATTTGCATATTATTAGAGAAAATGTTAAAACACTGCCTTGTCTACTATCTGGAGAAAAACAGTATATCTCTGCCTATCAGAATGGTTTCCGAAAGGGCAGGTCAACAGTATACAATTTGCTTCATTTACAAACATCTATTCGCCAAGCTTTTGTAAGAAGAAGGAAAAAAAAAAAAAAAAAAAAACTTGGTTTCAATATTTTTTGATGTGAAGAAGGCATATGACAGGACCTGGAGATATGGTATTCTCCGGGATCTGTATGATTGTAGCTTGCTTGGTAACATGCTAATTTTCATCTTTAATTTTTTGAAGGCTAGGACTTTCCGAGTGAGACTTGGTTCTGTATTATCCAAGGTCTTTTATCAGGAAGAGGGTGTGCCTCAAGGTAGTGTTTTAAGTGTAACATTGCTTAGCTTAAAAATAAATTCTGTTTTAAAAGAACGTCCTCCTTCTGTTTCTGGTAAAATGTATGTTGATGACCTCCAAATAAGTTGTCAAGCAGTGGACATGAGCTATATAGAGAGACAATTGCAGATTGCAATTAATAGAATCATGAGCTGGTCAAATCAACATGGATTCACCTTTTCAAGCCAGAAGATTATTTGTTTACATTTCTGCAGAAAGCAGAATTCGCATCCTGATCCTGAACTGTATATTCATGGGTCATTGATTCCTGTTTATTTAGAAGTAAAATTCCTAGGAATGATATTCGATTGTAAATTGACCTTCCTTCCCCATGTACTATATTTGAGGAAGAAATGGTTCAAAACATTAAGTCTTCTTAAAGTCATGCCAAATACATCTTGGGGTGCAGATTGTTGCGCTATGCTATATATTTACAGGAGTCTCATCTGTACTAAATTGGACTATGGCTCAGTGCTTTATGCAGCACAGCCTTCTATGTTATTGAAACTAGACCCTAGTCATCACCAGGCTTTGAGGACATGTTCTGGAGCATTTAGAACATCTATTGAAAGTTTGTGGACAATTTTGAACCGTCCCTCCGTTTAAGGCGTGACCAGTTGTTTCTCTGCCATATTTCAATATACAGTCACAATCATCCTTTTGAGATCACTTTACAGAATCGCATGTTTGATCGCCTATTTGAAGCATGATCATCCTGCATGCCTTATTTCTCCACAAGAGTTCAATCACTGATTGATGAGTTTGGGTTATCCAATATAAATGCGCAGTCTGTAAAGCACTTTGATATCCTGCCTTGGGAGAATGCACAAATACAACTCCTTGATGTTTTTCACCAATTCCAGGATAAAAAAATCCAAATGATATCATCTACAATCAGCTTTTCCTTGAGCACAAGCAAAAATACAACTGTTATACCCCAATATATACACACGGACAGTTCAAAAGCAGCCAATCATGTTGGAGCTTCCCTTGTGATAGGAAATCACAGGGAGGGTAGATGCTTGCATAAGGCTTGCTCAGTACTAACATCTGAATTAACAGCCCTGTATTGTGCCCTATTTTACGTATCTACCTGCACCAGAAAAAGTTCATATCTATACTCTTATTGTGCACTGAAAGCCTTAGAATCATATTCAGACACTCACAGCCCAGTAACTGTGGATGTTTTTAAGCTAAATTTGAACTTGTGGATGTGAGGATATTAGATTTTGTATTGTTGAGTACCCGGACACGTGGGGATAAAAGGGAACAAGCTGGCAGACATCTCGGCTAAATCTGCTCTTGATATGTGTAGCCAGCTTGTCCCATTCAGAGACATCTGCAAGGTCATCAAGAGGAAAGGGCTAAATAAGTAGCAACTGCTATGGAATCTACAATCCAACAACAAACTAAAAACTGTAAAACCTCTGGTTTAATATTGGAATGTGACTAGAAGCCAAAAGGAGGAGGTTCATTTTAACACGTCTTAGAATAGGTCACTGTCGAACTACACATGGTTAGTTTGTAAACCCTAAGAGTGAACCTACTTGCTGAAAGTGCAAAGCTATTTTATCAGTTCATCATATTTTAGTTGACTGCCTCTGTTTTAAGGAACTTCGTGTTAAATACTTTAATAGCTATTATGTACTTCTTCACCGTTTGATCAGGAAAGAGGTGAATGCTAACCTATTTTCATGTCTAAAAGAGATTGAATTTTATCATTTAATTTGATCTTTGTAGTTTTTATTAATGTCCCAAATATTTTAATGTTTTTATCTTATGTGTTTTTACTCTTCATGCTTTATATTTCAAGTTTCATTCTGTTAATTAGTCATTTCGTTGTCATCATGAACATGTTTTAATACTGGTTTTATCTTTCATCTGTATATATTTAAAATTTAACCATTCATCTGGCGCATTATAACCTTAAGGTTATGCGCTATGAAACTCGCAAACGTTTAAACCCTGTAAGTCGATGAAATTCTGTTTATTAGCCCGAAAGGGACATTAATCCCAAATGGGATATTATAGTCTTGAAACGGCATTTTGCTCTGAATCACTTTTTAAATTGTTGCTACCAAATAGTATCGTCCTGTATTATATTTAAAGAAATTAAATAATGAAGAATCTGCATGAAAGTATGCATGTTTCTTGTACTATGAAAAAACAGTACCTAGAGTCATCAAATTTTGAATAATGTAGTTTTCCATCCGAACATGGGATCTGGAAGCCTGAGTTTTGAATTTCGAATTTGTTTTGTTATTTATTTCATATTTTGTAAAACTTTCACAATTTTTTTATTAACAAACTGAACAATTTTAAAATAAGCCAAAATAAGCATTGGCAACACTGTACGAAAACACCTTTTTATCTCTAGGGTGCGAGACTGTGTTTATCAGAAATTCTAAAAATATTCTGTTTTTAAATATTTTGTGATTTTGATGCTGAATCGAATTTAACATGGTGTAAGCATCAAGAACATTATATATAATAAATAAAGACACAAAGCGTTAATAATTATAAGACAAGAAGAAAGTTTTGTAAGACATCTTAGTAAGAAAACTGAACATTGGTATGACAAACTGAGAAAAGACTGGTGGGGGAAAAACAGAAAAATGCATGCCAACACTTTAAAGCTTCATAAATATATTTGCTATACTGTTTTTTAAACTTTTGTAATTGTGCTGTTGAATTATACACTTATTATTATGCTGTTAAATTGCATATTGCTATTTCTTCACACTTACACCAAATAAGTAAATGCAAAGAAAATTATACTTAATAATAAAGCTAAAAAGACAAAAATCAGGGAAGTTTAGTTGGAGTGAGTTTAATAGTGGACTGCGAGCCCAGCAAGAGCGCAAAAAACCTGAACAAACCCTTTTGGGTGACCTGAAACCTTTCAGTTTTTTTTTTTTTAATTAAAATTGGGCACATAGCTGTTAAGTTAGCTAGACTTCTTCAAAGTTTGCCAACAATATTGGTTAATTTTTATTTAATGAAGTGTGGCAAAACTAAAAAAAAACTGTCTGCCTAAAGGGAGAGGACTTTATAAGGAAATTGGCTGGTATTCACATTACACTTAAAATAGGTATGTTTAATATGTAAGTACCGAAAATCTGTTTGCATTTTTAAAATAATGAATTTCCTTCATATATCTGTTTGCCCTTTGGTATAAGCTATTAAATCAGTATATATTGACAAAATATGTATTTGCATTATATATATATGCTTTCCATATTTTGATTAGGAGAACTGATCATTAGAGAGTTTAAAAATCTGCATTTTGATGTTTCAGAGCATTGCAAAATACACTTGCATCATCAAATATCATTATTGATGATACTTAACTGCCTATCTGCTATGATTAAGCAATGATTATCTGCAATGATAATTTTCTTATCATCATGTATTTTCGAATTAGTGAAATCATTTTTAATTCTTCTCTTCCTGAAGTATTTCATTTTGTATGTGGAGTTTTATTCCTGTTATAGGAATGAATTTCTTTCCTACATTTTTCATCAGTTTGACTGTCATTTTTTGGTCATGACTTAAAAGCTATTTTGGAAGAGCATGTTGTGTGTAATTTCTTATATAAGTTTTGCATGTAATTTATTTACGATTTTGTTTTCTTTATTGAGTCATTTGCAGTTTCCAATGGCAGAATCTGTAACTTTGCAGCATAATTATTTAACAAACTGACTGTCTATTCTGTTTCAGGTTTTAGCTGATGTATTCAATATGCCAGTGTATGTCTTAGAGTTTGCAAATTCAGCATGTTTGGGAGCTGCTCTGAGAGCAAAACATGGTAATATTTGAAATTTTTTGTATTTTAAATTAATAATTGATTTGTGAAACTGGAAATTTTCTTGAAGAGATGTTAGTGTATTTTTTATATTGTGAATGTTCTGTTTTTCAAGTTGAAGACAACTTGGGAAGAGAAAAGAAAGAGAGTTTTAACATATTTTGAAACTGTGTTTTGGTACAGTTTATTGAATTTTTATAAGTCTTTAAATAAAGCTTCCTGCAAATGAAATACTCTAGAGGTGTTTTCCAGTCCAGGACATGAAAAATCAACTATTTTCTCACTAAGATTAAAAACCGTGATCTCCCAGTTACTAAATTAATATGTTAACTGCCTACCCCCACAAAAGCATGCACAAAGGAAATGCAATAGTATTTCCGTTCTCTGTCATTTAAAGGAATGAGACTCACTTTAACAAATTCAGGTAACAACAAATTATTATCAACTTCAGTTTTAGTTTGGGAGCCATTGTGGAGATTACTAGGATTTTTTAAACCAAGATGCATGAAAAATTAACTGTGCCCTTGCTGGGACTCAAACCACAGATCTTTTCAATCCCTAGCGGGGCATGCTAACCACTTAAATTGCAAAAGCTTGTATGTGTGAGGGAATGTATTAATGCCTTACTTCTTAAACATTAACATTCTAAATTAATTATTGGCAGCTTTAATATTTTTGCTGTTATAGTGATTTTATTATATTTTATTAATTAGGACTTCTTGGAGACTTTCCTTTCCAAAATATGTTTGTTGAACCTTTGGGTTTACATCTAAGTTGCAGTCCAGCAAAAGATGCTGCACAGGTGAAGTAATTTTGCTATTGAATTTTTTATTAATTTGTATATTTATATTATGTTACGAATTATGTTGTATTATTTTCAATAGGTATATGGACCAATGCTTACACGATTCAGAATGATTCAAGGAAAGTTACAGAAAAGGCATGCGCCATTTGGTTTTGATGAAATTTAGAATTTATAACCAGAATATGTTCCTGAGTACCATTGTGAATAATTTAGTGTTCCATTGTGAATGTACTATTGTACTGTTCCAGTGTGAATAATTTATCTTGTGTTACTTAATAAATGTGCAACTGTTTAATAGAAGGGTGAATGATTCCTTACCTAAGCAGATTTCTTAACTGTACTTTACAAGAAAAAAAAAAGTTCTGCACTGTGATTTTCAATGGAAATTTAATGCATTGCATCCTGCCAGTAGATGAAATTATCCATACAGTTATTTCACTAATTTGAAACAGTCTGCATTATCTGAAACTTTAGTAATTTCAAGTTAATGTATGTGTTTTCTAACCCATCACACTATTCGTAAGTTTTATATGTTGGTCCTGTGCCTTCCATAGTCTAAATTATATTGGATATTCTTCTTCTTTTTCTTTCTTTTTTTTTAAAGCAGATATAAATTAAAAGATTCCATTAATATTCATCATATCTCAATCTAAATTTTTAGATGAAATTTCAAGCATGATGCCTATGCCAATATGATTTATAGTTTGTTTCTTAAAAATATAATTGAATGCAAAGATTGACTGTTTCTTCATTGGTATATGTCTATATACATTATGTCCACAAAAGTTTACCGTTCTTTATTTTGGCCGGCCAAACAACAAATGTTTTGGGCAGTGCAATTAAGTGCTAATTGTTTAATGTATTTTAAAATGCAAATTTTATGTTTAAAGTAAGTAACATTTGTCATAACACAACACATATCTATGATGTAGCCATGAAATTATGATATCTGAAAGTGTTGAGGAAGTTATGCTGTTAACAATATTTAAAATTGTGGTATTAGTCATAGATATAAATATATATTAAAAATAGGAGGAATATACACTAAGATATTGGAATATATATAAATTTATGAAAAAGAGCTTATTTTCACTATTGTAGCATATATGCTAAATGTGTGTTTTTAGATGTAAATTTTACCTGTATATTGTTTATTTGAATCAAAATATCAATAATTTTACTAGAGAAAACAAACAGATAACTGTGTCATTCCATATTTATGAATATGTTTGTAAGTAAAATTATATAATAATTATAATTGCTTTCAAAATGTCTTTTTCTATCATTAAAAAGTTATTAGTTCTTATATTGAATTTTATATTTTTGAGGCATTCGAAATTTAAGGAAGTTTCTATGTTAAACAAAAGCATTCTAGATGAGATACAGACTTTGTTGTTGCCAGTATATTCAAATTTTTGACTCTTGTGCAGGTTATACCCATAAAAAATTCTTTTGAGGAAAATTTAGTCTCTTTTCTGAAATAGAGATAGTCAAATATATCACTCTATCGAGAAAAATTTTGATGAGCAAATGTTGTATATAATAAATTGAATACATTTGATCCAACATAAGGATTTGCAATAATTATTATTTATGCTATTTTGTGCCAAATTACTAACTCAAGTTCTTAAGAATTAATAGCATCAAAGCATCAATGTTACAAGCATGACAATTTGATAAACTCAATTGAAGGGAGAAACATTTAAAAATAGTGGGATATATATCCACTATTTATAATACATATACATACACATATATGAAAATACATTGCCATGCCTTTGGATCCACTATTTCATTATCCATGAATGATTGTGATGTAGGGGAAAAGATTTTTAAGAATTGTAGACATATGGCATTTATACCAGAGAGAACTGGTTCTAATAAAATAAAATCTTCCAGATCAGACATACCCAGCAGTGTCATCACACAGTAATCGTGACAATAATAAACATTCATATGTGATTCAGGCTGATATTGCATTTCTTCCCTAGTGATCAAGAAAACGTAATTAGTTATTTGCCTTATCATTCTTTGAAACTATATGCTATGTTGTAAAGTATATTTCATTACATTTCTGACCTAAATTCGTTCAAATATCAGAATTTCTTACTTTCATACATGCTAAAATAGAAAATGCATTGTTAAAATTCAGTACTCAGTATTTCTATACTATTGGTTAATTTGATGTTGATAATATCTTAATCTGCATAATTAATTAATTTATCATATTCGTTCTCGCCATTAGAATTTTACGTTATATGTAGTATTAGCTATTTTACATAATTTTATAGTCACGATAGTTCTTCAAACATATTACATGCAGGCACTTAGGCATTGCTGTGATATTTTATAGTTGTGATACTATTTTATTATAGTACATATACAGTATCTACAGAAGTCCTTACGCAACTTTTATTTTGCAACCATTGGTCTCATGGATATATGCTTCAATTATAAAAATATTTTAAATGCCGCAAATATTCACGTTTTCTCCATTTTTTAATTTTAGAAAACAAATTGTTTAAAAGCTCCAAAATCTTAGTTTTTTTATACAGATCCCAGTCCTAATATTTATAGTGAGGAAAATTTATACTCCTTATTAAAACAATACGAAAAGTGTGACACCCATCTAAAAAGAACTGACTGAAATAGTTAAATTTAAAGCTAGATATTATATTCAGGGGGTCACACATAAACTGAAGAACAAAATGTAACATGTTAGTTAAGAAAAAAATTTCCATGGTTATAGGTGTTGAGAATTTTAATGAAGATTGTTGTGAAAAGCATCGATTGATATGAATTTTTTAGAAAGGTGATCAGACAAAATTCCATGTTGTAGAAAGCACTTGTAGATTTAGGTATTGGCAAATAATCAAATCATAATGTAATTTGCATAAATTGAAATTATTTCTAGTTTAATCATTTTTTGTGTATTAGATATGATTCTAAAATAATGAAACTTCACAAGAATATTATAACATATTTTTAGCCTATGATAAATTATAAATTACTTATATAAAAATTCCTTTGGTATTACCAGCTATTGTAAAATTATAAATTAAAGAATGTAATTATTAGTAAGTCACAAAGGGATGTCACTGAAGTTTATTAAATGGAAATAAAAACAACCTTGTGTTATCCTAATCTATTTTTTAATTGACCCCTCAAGTAGGACGGTAACTTCGTTTTTCTGGTGCTGTAAAATCCATGAAAACTGCAAAATTTGAAATTAAATACCCCGTCAACTTTTGTCACATAGAAACCAAAGATTTTCTGTTTTATTTCTTATAATGACTACAAAATTTCATTAAATATAACTATAGGGACCATTAGAACATATAAAAAGATGAAATTTCAGATTTTTTTTTTTTTTACAAAATATACTTCTTAAATTAAAATATGTTGAAATAAAAAGCTTTGTGTCATTTTTAAACAATATTGTAATTGGAAGTGTACATCTAGCACCAATGGTTGGAAAAATAATGGCCGTGTGAGGACTTTGTGGACAACAATGTGCGTGTATTATATATATATATTATAGATATATATATATATAGATATATATATATATATATATATAGCTGTTTCATATAATATATAATGCAGTTGAAGCAGTATTAACTGCATATATAATATGAAAGAGCACTTTGACATTTTTATCATGAATTTTCTTATAGATGTGATAATCATTTGTTTTCTTTTTAATACCATTGTTTTATGGTGGGAAACCCTTAACATAAAATAACAAATTTGAAAAATACATTTCTGTCGCATGTTTCTCTCCATTCTCAGCAAGTGTAACAGTTAAATTTGCAACTGTATTTTAAGTACTTAAGTATTTTGCTTTTATGCCATATGCATTTTTATCATTTGTGACATTGTTTAGTGTAAGTACTAATTAGGAAACATTAGTTCTGCAATACAATAATATTTAAGTACTCAACTGTATTCATTTTTCTTATATTTAATGTTTAGAAATGCTTTTTTAATATATTTGTTACAATTTATTATTTTTATTTTGAAATATGTATATTTTCTTTTTGTTCTGTTTTTAAGTTTGCTGTGCCAAGTTACTTTTTACTGATTGGCAATACTTAATGAATATGTGACCAATATGTATCTGTTTATACATTGTGTATGCATTCTTTGCTTAAAATATATATATATATATATTGTGTGTGTGTATGTAAGTCTTAACAGCTGAGAAATATTTTGAATAACTTTTTGGATGTGTTTGATTTAAAAATATTATGTAAGCAATATTAAAATAAATTATTTTTTGTAATTTGTTAACTGTTTTTAGTGTTTATTTTTGTAATTTTGCATCAAAAAGTTCTAATTCATTTCAAGATAGCAATGAATAATCAAAATTCAAACATTGTAATGAACTGAAAAGTTATAAATTAAGATGCAATTGGTAATTATTGAAATCTAAAGCACAGGTAGTCAGAAAATGTATTTTTGGAAGCTAAATTCTTAGGCCTTTGTTGGTATTCATTTTACATACTTAAAGCAAAGCATTACCTCAGTAATGAATGCTCTTTGATATACTTGGTGAAATAACTAAAGTTTTCAAACTCATTGCAGAATACACTTTTATGGAATTCATTCTTGAGCTGATTGCATGTAAAATAGTAAGGAAATAGAGTTTTTATTTAAAATTCTGAAGGGAAAAAACTGAAGATGATAAACTTTAAATTTAAAAAAAAATGGTGAGAAGTGAATTCACTTCGTATCCACTAAATATGTTCTTTTTGGGACTGTGGGATATTTTTAACTTGTTGAAGTAAGCCTGCAACATGCAAATATATCATCATATAATTTTGCGTTATTTCATTCTTTGAAATATAAGATTTTTGTTCATTCTCTTTTTTTATTTTTATGAATGACAATGAATAAATACATTCTTTTGTATATGAATTTCAATTATTTAAGGAAAATACAGACAAGTTAATAAAAAGTACCAATACATTTTATATAAAATATTAGGGGAAGACATAACATCACTAAACTCTTCTAATTCATGCCTGTTGTTATTTTGGAGGCTGAAAGGGCTGGCCGTAACATTTTTTTGTGTTTTACCATAAGAAAGTTCTTCGTGAAGGTATCTCAAGACAGCCAGCCTTAACTCCTTTTCCTTGGCTTTGTTATTAGAAGTAAACACACCTGTAATAATAAGAATAATAAATAAACATTTCTGCTTGTTTGACTGTTCACTTAACAGTTTGATGTTTTTATGAGGTTGACATTTCCTGATGTTATTTTTGTTAGCATACCATCACAGAACATCTGAAAATTCCTTTGCTGGTTGTCATATAGTTAGGTGTTTTAACTGTTATCAAGGTCTGAAATTTTAGGTGCATAAAGAAGAAAAAGTGAAAAAATATATTCTCAGATGACATTTTATGTATACATTTTTAATTTTAAGCACTAAAATCAAATGTTAAGACAAGTCTATAATTATATATTCAGTACTATGAAGACTGCATATCGAGAGAAAGCGTTATCCGCAAAGATAGTAATTTTGTTGGGTTACTTAGATAACTGGATCGCAACACCTGCTCCTAGACTTAATGCATAGGCAGTTTTATCTCAATAGTAACCTTCAGATTTTCCAGTGTAAACATCAAAATCGTAACAAATGCCTGATTGTCAACACCGGGCACACATTTTTAAACCCCGTTTGCTATGAGGTTTTTTAGTCATATATTGTTTGATATGGACTGTCCCACGAAATGAAATCATTATTTCATCAATAGACTGCTTGGTCTCACCTGGAACGGATAGCATGTTTTTCTCGAAGTCTAGACAACCACGGTTGCACTTTCCAGCATTTTTCACTTCTAACATCATCAACAATTTGTGAATTATCCGCGATATGCAAAAATCTTAAGATTTTTTTCAAATCTGTTTCTAGACATTACTTCTGCAATTGGTTTATACTTTATTCCCTCTTCTCAATATCCTCTAATATGAGGTACGTACGGTCCATTCGTATTAGTTGCTCTATTTCATTTGCCGTCACTTCACCATAAGAGAAGTTGTTTGTTGAACTCTATACAGATTTCTTTGTTAAACTACTAATTTTATCATACTCTGTTGATATAAACAATCTGAAAATATGCAACAGAGCTGATGGGAGAGGTTTTGTAGGATCAGGAAATTCATCATCATTTGATGAAGGCATAAGATTAGGTTCTTTTTTCCTCCATAGAATTTTAAATTTTTATAGCTCTTACGTAGATAGACACGTTCTTCAATATTTGATGCATTTTGGTGGCTTTCTACATCTTCATTATAATCTTGTTCTTCATCATCTGAGCTTCCTTCATGGAAGATATCAGACGCTCGTGTAAGCATATATACATCATCAGAGTCGACATCAGATATATCGGATAAATCACTTTCCAAATCATTCATATATGCTACGGCACCTTCTAGTTTTTTAAAAACATTTCCTCTGTGGCAAAAGGGACCTGGAGTGCATAGCTGGAAAAAAAAAAAAAAAAAAAAAAAATCAAAATTTTATTCAAAATTCCGAAAATTTTATTACAAAATTATTAAATTATTTTTTAAAATTGCATTCAATAAATAAAGTATATTAAAAAGAACTTGAGATTTGATAGAGGATTTAAATTTATTTTTCAACGTAAATCTCAAAATGAATTTTCCTAGACTTTTTTACAGGAAAAAAATATCTTAAAAATATTTTTTAAATCGAAAAATATCAAAATTTAAACTAATAAAATTTAAATCCATAAATTATATTTAAGGATATATTTATTATCTCTAAAATTACGAAGATTGAACTAATTTCAATGTAAAAACATATTTTCTTCAGAGAACTGCTAGGCTTAGTACACGAATGTCCGATTTTAAAAATATATTTTCGCATTAAAAGCAATAATTTTGTGAAATTTATTTTATACTGTGTGATACACTCACTCTTTTACTTATATAAATAGTAATTATTAACTGTTTTATTTTTAAAATATTTGTAAAATAAACAAACAACTTATGTCTGAAAACAGGGTTCGTAGCGGTCCTTATAAGTGCTTATAAGTCCTTATATTTGAAAATAAAATATAAAGGCCCTTATAGGTGCTTACTTTTTCTTTAAAGCCCTTATTTTTTTGTTTTTAGTGCTTATTTTTTGCATTTAGTGCTTTTTTTTTTTTTCTCTTTTTTTTTTTAATGAACGCGCTATTTTTTGCCGTACCAAAGCCGAAACTAAATAAACAGCTTTTCTTCCTTATATGGAATGTCAGATGGTGAATCATACTCCCGGAAATAGCTTTTCCCTCTATCTCTGCATTAATATAACCTTTGGTGTGCACGAAGAGTACAGACAGGTGCCCGTCGTTCTATAGGGCAAAGAATTGCGAATGCAGTAAAAAATTCCGGTACATTAGGCATTCTTTTCCTCCCACCCAAATACTACACACGTTTGAATTTCTATCAAGATCTTAATAATTTGCATTCTCGTTACGCTTGGTCAGTTCATATTCGTGTTTATTATGATTATTATGCTTATATTATGAGCATATGTATGAATGTTTATAATAACATAGTTGCAGTAACTGCTGAAGTATAGTAAACTTCCAAAAATGGTTGTGTTTTAACACAGATTAGCTTTCTAAGGAATAATATTCGGAATGGCTTAAATAAAGGGAAAGTCATCGAATAGTCAAAATAATTTCATTTTTATGGCCAATACATTATACAGTACGAAGATTGGGAGGTTCTCCCCTTTCTCCACAAAATCTCGAATATTGAAACTGTTACAGTTCGCTGCAAAACAAGCAATGGACCTTTTTTTTTCGTCACTTTCCAATCTGGATTGAATAGGACTAAACGTTCTGAAGTCTACCAACCCAAGCGAAGAATGATTCTATTTCGGAAATTTAACGCCGTCTGTTGAAAATCAGAATGAAAAACACCCCAGTTCTTTATTCTCCCAATACCTGCAGCTGTTGATTCCGATTGCGTAATATCACGTAGGGAAGAATTACGGCGCACGTATTGCGCAATAACGTTTGCGATATCTTGCAGAGATAATTAATTTTGATGTTCTGTCCGAGATTTGTTTTATGAACACTTCAAAGAGTTTTACTGTGCTTGCTAAGCAGAATATTTTTCAGTTTCATTGGTTTATTTTTATATGATGCATATATCAAAATGTCAAAAGCATTTATTTAGCGGAGAAATCTAAAGAGCGGCTACAGTCTACCCCCTATTTTTCAAGTTACGCTCGACTGTCCGAATATTCGCCAATTTCCAAATATGTGGGTTAGTTAAGCTTTTTACTGTTAAAGGATGACTGCATGAAGCAAATTTCTGTCTTCTGATTTCAGAAATGTTTCTCTTTTTTACTTAAATTACTTTGCTTGCAATATCTGTTAAGGGAAAACTGATATACAATGAAAATTTAGAAAATGTTCAGAATTTAGATTTAAATTATTTAAATATCAATATGAGTGGGAAAATGAATTGTATTTATTATTTGGTTCCAAGCGAATACAATAAATATTCCTTATTATTATTTATTTTCTCTACTTTGAACTGAAATTTCATCATTAAATCTTGTAATATAGTTTAGTTCTGCATAGTTTTTTTCCTCTCGTTGTAAACTAGTTCTGTAAATTAGACTTATTTAAAATTTAAAAAAAAAGTAATTATTTTCCATGGTTGAGGTAATGCTTATTCTCTCTTAATAAATACTCCATTTCTCATTATTTTAAATTACAAGTCTAATTTTTAAGGTTATGCAGTTGTGTATAATGTAATTAGACAAGTGCTTATTTTTTTCTTAAAATGTGCTTGAAAAGTGCTTATAGGTGCTTATTTTTTTAACTAAAATGTGGCTATGAACCCTGTGAAAAGGTGCTTGCATTGTTTTCTGCATTCATGCTTCTTCTCATTTTTTTCCTTTAAGCTGGTGCTGCTATCTATGCCTAAAATTTGCTAATAATACATGAG